AAAAAACCCTCGCTAGAGGGTGGTGGAACTGGTTGGAGGCGGTGCAGGGGGCGTCGGTGGGGATCCATCAAGTGTTCGGGTGCGGGCAGGGGGCCCCTGAGTTCTAGCAGGAGCACTTGCACTCGGAAATGATGGGGTACTGGATGGGAATCCAGCCGCAGCGCTGGCCCCCGCGCCGCTGACAGCGCCACCGCAGCACCGTGAGGTGCACGGACTTGGACGGCTTGCACACCATGCCCTCGGGCACGGAGCACGAGCGCTTACTGAAGCAGCTGCCCACCTTCACGTAGCGCGGCCAAAAGCGGTTGCCCAGGTCGTTCCACGCGTACAGCACGGGGCAGAAGGTCTGCGACCACAGCCACATCTGTAACTTCCTCCGCAGCTTCTTGCTCAGGCGCTGCTTCTTGCCCTGGGCCAAGCCCTCGGAGAACTCCAGCCCTTTGATCTCGCTCGGCATGGCCCCCGACGGCCGCTGCCGCAGCAGCTGGTCCAGCTCCGCCAGGTCCTCCGCACCCCCAGCCGCACCCCCGCCCCCGCCGGGCCGGTCCTCGGGGGGCGAGGTGGCCATGAAGCCCGGGTCGTAGTGGCCCCCGAGCAGCGAGCGCAGCAGCGTCTCGTTCAGATCCTTCTCCTTGGGGTCAAAGATAGGGTCTGGGTGTTCGATGAGGTCCACCAGGGGCAGGTTGTCGCTGGGCGCCGGGCGGATGTGGAGATAGTGCTGGCCGCCGGCCGGTGTCGCCCGCAGCCCCAGGACCACCACCAGGGCGTAGAGGGTGACCCCCAGGCTGGGGCAGCGCTCCATGCCTCCGGCGCGCGCCCGGGGCTGCTGATTCGTCCCGCGTCCCCGGAGGAGAGCACGCTGAGCCCGCGGCGCCGCCGCGCTCCCCAGTCTCTCCGGAGGCGGCTCACCCGAGGCTGGGGAGGCGCAGGGCCGGCAGCATGAGCCGCCGGGAGAGCCCTTCGCGCAGCGCCGGCTCCCACCGGGGCGGAAGAAAGGCACACAAGTTGGCCGCAACTCCTCTCCCGGGTCTACTGGGGAAGGCGGCCACGGCTGGGCATCCGAAATTACTCCAGGGCGACCGCGGGGCGCGGGGGGCGCCGGCTCCTCGCTGCCTTCCCGGGCCCGCGGCGGCGCAGGGCGCGTGGACGAGCCGCTCTCCCCTCCTCCTCCTCTCGCTGCTCCTCGTTCCGCCGCTCTGTGCAGCGCCGCTGGCCGAGCGGGTCCTAGGGGCACTTCCCTCCGCCTGCTCCGGGCTCCGCGGCCGGCTCTGCCCGGCGGACTCCAGCGGCGGCGGCGGCGGCGTCCGCGCACGTTGGCACCGGTTTGTCTGTCTCGCAGGATCCAAGCCTTTAAATTTCCTGCACTTTCAGCTCCATCACCATGGAAACCACTGACTCTCTCGGCGTTGCCCCCTCCCCCTTCTTCCCCCCAAACAACAACCCCACCCCCCACTTCTCCACCCCCGAGGAGCTGGAGCGGCACAGGCTCCGGGGGAAGCCGCCCGTACTCGCCGCGGAGGCGGCGGCGGCGGCTTCGGCAGCGCCCAGGGCTGTGCCCCGCCGGACCCAGATGCCCCGGGAAGCCGACAGTCCGGCTGCCCGCCGGAGCTCACAGGCGGCGGCGGCGGCGGCGGCGGCGGCGGCAGCGGCGGTGGCGGCGGCGGTGGCGCTTGGCAGGTCTCCGCGCAATTTTCTCTCTCCCCCACCACCCACCCCCCTTCTCCTCCTGCAAAATGCACCGCCCCCCTCCTTTCTCCTGGAGCAATGCAACTGGGGCTCTAGGCGCCCCGCCAGGGCCAGTCCTGGGGAAAGCTCGCGGCAGCGCTGGAGCGGGGCTGGAGGGTGCAGAGCCGGTGTTGGGGGGGGGCGGTGCTCGAGGTGGGGCTGGAGGGCTTCTCACTAGCTGGGTGCTTTGCACTGGGAGGGGAGCGGCGGGGAAGTGCTGGGGGTTCCTTCCTCGGTGCAGTTCGGAGCAAGAAATTTCTCCATGTGCATGGAGCGTTTTTCCCGGGCGCGTCTCGCCTTCCTCTCTCCCGGGCTCTTGATCTAAGTCCCCTCCCCCCAACACACACACACACACACACACACACACACACACCCCCCCGCACTCACACACACAGCCCCCACCCCACTCCCCCCCCCCCACTACCCCACCCCCCTTTGCACTGGAGAGTCCCAGATCCGCAGCGTTGCGCAGCGTGATGTCATTCCTAGGTAGCACTCCTGCCTGTCTGGCCCTCGGGCCCACGAGGGGGGTCCGCTCCTCACCATCCTCCTCCTCCTTGGCCGGGTCCTGCACCCTGAGTGGCCTAGCCTCCGGGGCACGTCTGGCTCGCCTGCTGCTCCCCTCGCCTGGCCGGCTCCGCGCGGCCGCCGCTCGGCTCCCTGGGGGCGGCCCGCCCTCTGCTGGCCCGCTGCGAACCCTGCACCTGGCGCTGGCGGGGCGGCGGCCGTGCGAGGTGGGTCGGCTGCTGCTCGCTCTGCCCGGTTCAGCTACTGCTTCTGTGTCCGTGTCACTTTGTGTCTGCGTCTGCTGACGGGGCCGTTTTGGGTCTGGCTATTTTCCCGAAGCCCTCCAGGCCCCCAGTGTAAACAGACTTCCTGAGATTCCTCCTCAAACCCCTCAAATTTCACAAGAATGCATGCTGCACCTTCTGCCTCCAGTAAATCGGTCTCAGTGGGTGCGAGTGGGGACCGGAAACTTGAAAGATCAACTGACAGCAGAGGTGCCTGAGTCTGGGCTGGGGTCCAGCCTGATATAACTTGGACAAGTCATTTTCCTTACTTTTCGCATTAGTGTCGTAACTGTTAATACATTTCTCTTCCAGCCCTACCTTTCTGTGATTTCAAATAAACCTACATGATGCTTTCTCTCTCAGAAGCAGTTTCCCTTTAATGGGAGATGGGCACTGAAGTGACACCTCCTGTTAATTTCCCTTGGACGAGGAACTCTATCTAAGCTTTAAAATGCAAACTCAAGTTTTCTTTGTGGTGAATGTGATTGGGATCTGGAAAAAGCTGGAGAAGAGACACTTGGAGTGAATGACTCAAGTATTCGCCAGTCTTCCACGGAGTGGGAGTTAAGAGGTCCCATTGTGACAGTCTAAATCACTCAACTTTCTTTCCCCAAAGATCTGGTTTTTCCTTTCAACCTGCCCCACCCCAACTCCCAAAGTTTATCATCTGTCTAAGGAAGAAAACACTTTGTTGCATACTACGGTCTTTCTGCAAAACCTCTATTAAAAGGGGTGGGCAGTTTCAGCTGAAAGCGTTTCCTTCCATTTTAAAGTCTAGACAACGAATTAGACTATCAATGGACTGCTCAAAAGGAGGTCTTGCTTTGATGGATACTGGAGATAAAAACAGCTCATTGGTTATTTGAATGGGGTTGACTTTGAAATAATGTGTGATTAGAACCTGGTACAGGCCAGGCACAGTGGCTCACGCCTGTAACTTCCCAGCACTTTGGGAAGCTGAGGTGGGCAGATCACTTGAGGTCAGGAGTTCGAGACCAGCCTGGCCAACATAGTGAAACCCTGTCTCTACTAAAAATACAAAAAATATTAGCTGGGTGTGGTAGCAGGCACCTGTAATTTCAGCTACTTGGGAGGCTGAATCATGGGAATCACTTGAACCCGGGAGGTAAAGGTTGCAGTGAGTTGAAATTGCATCACTGTACTCCAGTCTGGGCTGGCGACAGAGTGAGACTCTGTCCCCACTTCTCTCCAGCCCCCCAAAAAGAACCTGGCACATAGAGAGCTCCTAAGCATACCTCTTTCTTTTTGATGCACCTTATGGGGATTCAGCACCAGTTTGTTTTCTTAGGAAGATTACATGTTCCAGAGCAATTTTGTCACTGCTGTGAATTAAGAAAAGTGTTCAGGGGATTTGAAGGGCTAAACTCTAGCTCAACCCTCCTGAGATGGTAGGTTCCAATTCATGACATTATATTGTGCTGGTTTCTGTTCTATCAATCTCCGTCTCCTCTCCTTCAAATGATCTATTTTTGTTTGAAGACCAACCCAGATCCTTTATTTAGGCTGAGTAGATTTAACTGAACAGCGAAAAAGGTCCCTCAGGAACCAGAAACAAACCATGCTTGAGAACAGATGGGGTGACCTGTTTATGGAGTGTCTACTGGGTGAAGACCATTGGGAAAAATACGAAGAAGAAGGATTTCACAGTCAGTCTCCATCCTGCAAGACTTCTGCAGTACAGTTAGGGGAGATACGAGAAGCACAAGAAGAAAATATTAAAAGGGCGTCAGAAAAATTTATAATTTATGGGAACATAACTGTGTGGACCAGTGTTTCGTAACCTTTGCTTTTTAAAATCCATGTCTCCTTTTGATAAATATAACAATATCTTGCTCGTGTTTGAATGTTGTGTAAAGTTTTAAAATACATTATTATAACCAAAATGAAGTCCAAGCAATTGTAATATTAGCTATACTGTTTTCAAACCATATGTACCGCTCTTCACTGTGAAGTTCTGAAATGCCACATTTGGGAAGCTTGCAACCCCTGACTCTGCGCCACGTTGGAGTAGCCTATGTGGTTAGGTACTGAGTAAACCTAGGAATGTTGGTATCAGAGACTAAGCAGTACTAAGACCTTAATGGGGCTGGGCGTGGTGGCTCACGCTTGTAATCCCAGCACTTTGGGAAGCTGAGGTGGGTGAATCACGACGTCAGAAGTTCGAGACCAGCCTGGCCAACATGGTGAAACCCTGCCTCTACTAAAAATACAAAAATTTAGCTGGGTGTGGTGGCGGGTGTCTGTAATCCTAGCTACTGGGGAGGCTGAGGCAGGAGGATTGCTTGAACCCGGGAGGTGGAGGTTGCATTGAGCTGAGATCGCACCACTACACTCCCTCCTGGGCGACAGTGCGGGACTCTGTCACAAACAAACAAACACTTTAATGGTAAAGCTAAGTTTTAGCTGAGCTTGATGAGGAAGGATGTATTTGTCTGAGTTTGGAGAGGAGATTTGAGATGTAGGATATAAATCTGCATAAAGAAGGGAACCACATTTGTGTGAGGGACAGCAAGAAAACCTGGGGATATGGGAGGTGGAGGAAGAAATGTCCCAGACAGGGAAGCTCCACGACTTTTGGATCAGGTGGATTTAAGTTGGAATTCCGGTCACGCCCCTCACTGGCAGTGTTACCTTTTTAACACAGTCATTTTAATTACTCTGTTTCCATTTTCTTATCTGTAAGGATGGGATGATATCTCTCAGAATCATGCCATATAAAAGAGGTAAAGAATGCCTAGCCTAGCATGGTGCCTGGGGCAGAGCCTATACTGGGCAATGGTCTTTCAACACCGGCTACTTCTTCAGAGAACCCTACTGCCCTCAGTGGACCAGTCATCTCAGGTTTGAGCAGAAGAGCGTTGAAGTGTGCGGATGCTGTTGAAATAAACTCCAACACCTTTGGGCCTGCTTTCTGTCCACGCCATCTGTGCAACTGGGGCGCTGCCAGACTTCAGGAGTTTGAGGGAGGGACTGCAGTTTCTTGGGAGACTCCGTAGCCAACCCATTTTGATGCTTCTGTGGTTCTGTTGAAGAGGGAGCTTGACAAACGGGACAAAGAGGGCTGTATTTCTTCCAAAGGAAGCTGTGCGTCGAAGATGGGCCAGTGGATGTACGGCTATCAGCTTGACTCTCGCTGTGGGCGGTGTTTGGACTTTCGTGAGGATTGGTTGGGACTTAGGCCTCAAGAGGCTGCACAGGATGAGTCTAATGAACAACATGAATGGAGGCCCATCCCTGGGTAGCCCCATCTCGGGTTTCTGTCCCTGCAAAATTCTCTAGGCAAGGCAAACACAAGCACTCCTTTAAACAGTCGCTGGGGCAACTCCAGGTCAAAGGCAAGATGAGCCTGAGGGTGCTTTTGTGTATCTTCTCTTACTTCTATCATGATTCTAAGAACAGTTTCACAGTATTCTTGCTTCTTTGGCCCTGGAAACAGAGCTAAGGCAGCTGTAAGTGACGCCTAAAGGGCGTGGAGCTTGAGGTCAGAAAACTTGCAACCTACCAGCTGTGTGACCTTGGGCGAGACACTCTACCTTTCAAGGACCACGGGACATCGTAATAGAGAAGGCATGAGAACTCCTGTCTTTTTTTTTTTTTGAGATGGAGTCTAGCACTGTTGCCCGGGCTGGAATTTAGTGGCGCAATCTGGGCTTACTGCAACCTCCGCCTCCTGGGTTCAAACAATTCTCCGGCCGAGTAGCTGAGATTACAGGCGCCCACTACCATGCCCAGCTAATTTTTTGCATTTTTTTTTTTTAGTAGAGATGGGGTTTCACTATGTTG